CTTTCCTAGAAAGAAATAAAAATTGCGGCAAATATAATTTTGACTCTACCTGTTTGCTATATATTATTAAATATCAAGTTTTTAAAAGAAAGATTGCATTTCCATAGTAGTCATGTAAGCTTAATGACGATATTACATGAAGAAGAAATAGGTTACAAAGATGCTTTTAGAGCATATTTTAGTAATTTATATATCATAAATGTTACAATACCTACTTGTGAGAAGTTGGAATCTAGAACAGGCATTCACGCAAAGGTCGAACCATTTCATCATTCGACATTCAATACAAGTTGGTAGAGCAAGTCTGAATCCTGACACTCAACTTTTACCAAAGTCTGTGTGCCAGTCAACATTTCCGGTCATACAAGTCTGACACATCAGGACTGGGCTACCTTATTCTTTTTCTTCTTTTTGGTATTTGGTTACCATAATTTTATTGTAATTCTCATTATCTAGAAATTCTTCCTCCTTTACACTTGCTTTTTCCCTCTATATATGTCAGCTGTGGTTGATGCCATTGCCCCTTTCTTCCTTGGTCTAGGCAGTGGTGGTCTTTTCAACTGTCGCACCATGCTGAGATATACATTAGTAGCAGGATGGTACAAAGTCCTCTCAGATTTCTCACAGTTGTTTTCATATGGGAGGTTTTATGTCTCTCATAGCGCAAAACACTTTTCAATTTTTCTCAGTTGCCTGGAGCATATAGTACATAACCCACAATGGTCTCTCATTCATTCATTCATTCATTCATTCATTTACTTGTTCATTAACTCAACAAATAAATATTGAGCTTGGCAGTGTGCTGGGCTTGGAAGATACAAATTTGAGCCAAATATTAACTTAAAATCTATCCTCAAGGAACTCATAGTCTAGTGAGAGAGAGAAAACTTTGTCAAATAGTTATAAAAACAAGTGTAAAATTGCCTTTAGGGTAAGTAACACCTGGTAGATGAGCATTTTATAATAGCTAAGGAGAGAACATCCTTCCCTTAGGAAATATCACTTGAAGTGAGATATGAAGCCTGTGTAGAAAGCAACTAGGAGAAGAAGAATGCAAAATGGAATGAGCAGAAAAAACTGTGAGTGCAAAGGCCCTGTGGCAGGAAGAGGCATAAAGATTGGGGACTATAAGGCAGTCAGAGAGGCTGGGATAGAGAAGGTCAGGGTGAAAATGTGGGTGGGATGAGGAGGCAGAAAAAGGAGAAACAAAACTGGGTAGGCTTTAGTAAGGAGTTTTACCTGTATCCTGAATCAGAAAAACCAGTGAAGGGTCTAGCAGGGTACCAACATGGGTAGAGTGGCATTTTAAAAAGATTACTTTGGCTGCAGTGGGGTGTAAGAACATATTGAGCTTCTATTCCATAAGAAATCCCCAAAAAGAAATCGCACACAAGCCATAGCTGAATATTTAGACCAAGGAATGAGAAGGAGGAGCAGGTGGAAGTGGTCTAAAAGAAGACAAAAATCAGTGTTGAGCTAGAAAAGAAAGTAATCCGGACACTTTGCCCACCAGTTGTAGAACCCACATTCTGGGTGGGTTTTTTATATTTGTTTTGAGACAGAGTCTCACTCTGTCACCCAGGCTGGATCACAGTGGCGCCATCTCGGCTCATTGCAACCTCCACCTCCAGGGTTCAGGCAATTCTCCTGCCTCAGCCTCTTGAGTAGCTGGGATTATAGGCACACACCACCACATTTTTTTTTTTTGTATTTTTAGTAGAGCTGGGTTTTGCCATGTTGGCCAGGCTGGTCTCAAACTCTTGACCTCAGGTAATCCGCCCATTTCAGCCTCCCAAAGTGTTGGGATTACAGGCGTGAGCCACATGTCTGGCCAGATGATTTGTTAAACATGCAGATTCCAAGGCCCCATCCTACAACTTTTGAGTCAGAATCTCTAGGAAATGAGACCTGGGAATCCGTGTTAGTGTGTTGAGTCAACCATGACTAAAAATTATATTGCCTAAGGCAGATAGGTAAGTGAAAAAAATGATGAGGTTGAAACTATTCAATATCCCGCGAGCTTCTCAACCTGAGATCTGAGCAAAAAAAAGACGAAAGGCACAGATACAATGAAACATTAGACATGGGTTTTCTTTCAGGCTCAGTCAAGGCAGCTCCCTGTGCCCTGAGGTTTGTCCCAGGACCTCTCTGCCTGTGTTCTTGTCTGCACAAAGGCCCTTCCAGCCATTAATGCTAAATTCTAAACTGAAGCATCTATGCTGATCCCTACTTTCCCTACACACCTGATGATGATTTACCTTCATTTTATTCTGATTACCAATTGAGACTTGTTCATAGTACTTTAAATTAGGGTTAGCAAATTATTTCCTGTGGGCCAAACCCAGCCTATCCCCTGTTTTAGTATGGCTCAGGAGCTAAAGACGGTTTTACATTTTTAATGACTGAAAAGAATCAAAAGAAGACTTATTTTATGATGCAATAAAAGTATATGAAATTCAAATTCAGTGTCCACAAAGAAAGTTTTATTGGAAACCACAGCCATACTCATTCATGTATGGCTGATTTTGCTCCATACATACTTCACAAGGTCAGGCTGAGTAGTTGTGACAGACACCATCTGGCCCACAAAACCTAAAATATTATTAGTATATTTTTTAATAGAGAAATTTTCTGACTCATGCTTTAAATTAACCTCTCAGCCTTTTTGGTCAAACTACTGACAAATTACCAAACTCCTGTGAAGCAAATAGTTAATTTGTAATCAAATAATTGCCCCATAATTTAAATATTTTATACATTTGACTTTTCAAATTGAATCTTCTTAAAGTCTATATCTTTTGGTATTATGACTAACTTACTATCATTCAGGTGAATCAGAAATGTATAGATTCATAAAGGATCTAAAATAATTATGAGTCCACTGTATACTGCCTAGGCTTCTCTAGGAGTATATCAAATTAATAAGACAGAATATACATATAGTCTTACTTCAATTCTAATTGACTCATCTAAAACAGAATTAATTACTTTTGACTTCAAACCCATGTCTTAGTCTTCCATTCTATACATTTAATACTGTACATTTGAATAACATTTTATGAATAGGCAAAATGCTTTTGAAAACAGTAAAAATCAGATAATTCACACTATTGACCAGGAGGCCTAGTACAGATTAGCTCATTTCTTGAAAGAGGATTAATTGAAAAAAAAAATGGTGTAAATTTACTGAATTACCCTGTAAACTGTGCCCAGAGAGACACACACTGTTGACAAGAATCTTTCAGTAAAGATACCATAACATATTTGGTAAACATAATGGGAGTTGCACTTGCAGGAGACCTCATTACAGCTCTTGGCTATGAAATGCTCATAGAGAAGTGGGGTGAGACTGCTAGGTTTTCTGTGAGAAGTATTGAGTTTGTGGATTATTAAAGAGGTGAGAACCAGTGAAAAAGTGGGGTTAGGCTGTACAGCACTTTTCAAGACTTATTCTGTCTTCAACGTTTACACTGCTAGAGAGTTTTTCCCAGATTCAACTCAAGTCCAGGAAATATCTTTTTAATTACATTTATTATTTTGTTTTAATTTTATTTAGTACCAGGTGCAATAAAATCTTTTCAAAGAGAGGAATTGGTATGGGGGAGAGAAATAGCAGACTGCTAATAATAACCTTTGGATGTCACCTTCCCTAGCTTTTCCAACTCCTAATAAGCCCATGAAGGGGCAGACAGTTTTAAGGCCCACTGGGACAAGAAATTAAAATTGTTTCCTCTGGCATGGGCCAGACTGGAGCAATCTTATGAAGAAAGCAAAGTTATTTTTTTCCCACATCCACTCTTCAACTCACACATTTTTTTCTAATCAATTATTAGTTTATTATTTGATGATCGATTCAACAAAATTTTTTTCTGGCATTTTAAATTTTCTTATTGAGTCCATTTTACTTAAAAAATACAAAGTATTTTTAATATATCTTAGAAAAATTAGCAAAAATTGAGCATATTACATTGTACAATGTTTTGATATGAATGTCTTAAAATAATAAATATTTGGTTTCCTCTCAACATAGCACATCACAAAAATACATTTTCATGCATAATTCCTGAAAATGATCATATCCCTACTTATTAAGGAAAACACCTGATTATCACAAGCACTCAAACACTCCTGAAATTTTCTGTACAGTAATTACAAAAGTAAAACCAAGAGTTCTGTTGGCCCTCTGATAGGTAAAACCATTTTAAATACTAGGAAAAAAATCAGTTAGTATCAAAATATAATTCCAAGTGGTATTTACTTAGTTCATTTCTGTGCTATCTTTGATTCACAAGTATCTGTCTTAGCCAAAGCACTGTTTTAAAGGATGTTGCCTCCCTCAGACATAGTGCCACTGAAACCAAGATGTAAATTGGTACCATTGTGCATTAAACAGAAACCTGTTGGACAACCACATATAAAACTGCTTGGTCATATCAAGGTCCACCTGTGACCAGAAAGCAGGCAGTCCTTAGGCCGATGGCTGGGAGCCAGACAGTGAGGGCTTCAAGAACTCAGGGCTAGGGCAGCTAAGTCCCAGGTCATGTTTTCAGCTACAGCTGTGGATTAAGCCAGGTTGAAGAAGGAAGGACATTCTGCCAAAGTACAGGGCCTATTTCACAACTTTTAGAAGTAGAAGTTCACATATTCTATCATCACCCTCCCCACCATGCAGAGACTCCCCAAGGCCACACTGTTTCACCCCATAGATTTCACATAGGTGATTAGCTTCTTTGTAAAATATTTTTTCCTCATGCTGGAATGAGGGATACTGGGGTCTTCTGGTGTAATGTGTAATCAAACCACAGGAAAGTTTCCATTTCTTGCCTAGGTCTCATTGGTCTAATACACCTGCCAGCTACTGAATAAAATGATAATACTGATAAATGGCTGGGCAGAAATTCAACACCCAAATCAGCTGTCAAATTTCAAAGGCACATGATACAAAAATATTTTAGACAATAATCTAAACTTTATAAAGATAACTACAAGAAATCATTAAATAAAATTATATTTTTATTAAACAGCTAAAAGTCTCAAGACAAATACCTAAAGACCCCTTCTTCATTGGCAAATATTTTCTAGTCATAAAAGGTAATAATTTATGGGATTATATTCCAGTTTCCAAATACATACAGTGAAACCTCTACTACCACCCTTTCTAGATGTATACATCTATTTGGAATTGCTTTCTTAGTATGCACTCAGGAAGCACTAACTTAAGAACACCTGAGGTTCTCTGTCCTCATTTAATACTTGTAGAGAGAAAAGGACTTTATTCTACTGAATTCTGCCTCCCCCGTTTTTTGCAACAACTGAATTAACCCCATATTTATTTATAATTTTAAGCTTGATTGCTGTCCATGGAGTTACTGCTGCTTCTCAATTATAACTAGTGTTAGAAGGCTTGATTTCATAAATGTTCTCCTTAATCCAAAGATAGATCATGCATGAAAACCTTCCTTAATACTCCTTTGAAATCAGATACATATAAACTGAGATCCCAATTTCCCTGTTAAACTTATTTCTACTGGGTATTTCCTCCATTTTCATCACAGAGGAAGGGAAAAAGCAGAAAAGCTGCCCGTCTAAAAAAGGCTAACATCATGACTAGGCTAATATATTGGCATGCCATCATCTTTATGATGTTTTGAATGTAACTAGCAGACATACAGTCAACTTCCTATTGGCCATGTGCATATAATTTGCTTTCTTAATTATCCAAATAATTTTTATTTCCAATTAGCTTCTTTCTACTACTCACCATAAACGTCACAGCCTGGCATATACTTAGTAGCACATCATTGACTAGAGAGAGTGAATATGAGAAAAAATTAGGTTGAGAATATGGGGCAAAGGGGTGGTCTCCTTTAAGGTGAGGGGAAAGGAGACCGTAATGAAACATGTCAAGTGTATGATGATTAGGGAAATAAATATCTTAGTAGAAGCTAGAAAACCCCTACTAACAGGATCACATTCCAAAAGGGCAACCAGGAAATGGCAGTGACTCCGTGACTTCTCTGTCAGAGCACCAATGGTCAAAGGCATTCCATGTCAAGTATCAGGGAATGGAAAGCAAACTGCCCAGTCTAGTTTAACAGCACATACTCGGAGAAGGAAACACGCTGCCAAAGGAAAGAGCTGACACCCAGTCCACAGAGGTCCTGACTACCCCGTGGCAGTGAGCCCCTCCAAACTCTGCAGAGCTGACTATGTTGTCTGCACCCTCCCTCATTTGGGGAAGAATCTGAGAGAGCTAAAAGGTAATTTTCAGAAGGTGAACTTTTCAAGGAAAGAGTAAATAAACAGCTTGACAATACTGACTTTTCCCCCCCTTTTCAGGTAGCCCATATTTGCAGAAAGATAAATAATAAGGCTTCCTTAGGATATTGACCCACTTAGAGAGGCACAGAAGGAAGAAGAGTTAAAAGCAGCAAAGCCGTTTCTTTTTCTTTTTTGGATGGAATCTCACTCTCACCCAGGCTGGAGTGCAGTGGCATGATCTGGGCTCATTGCAACCTCTGCCTCCTGGATTTAAGTGATTCTCTTGCCTTAGTCTCCCAAGTGGCTGGAATTACAGGCGCCTGGCACCATGCCCAGCTAATTTTTTTTCCTTCTATTTTTAGTAGAGACAGGGTTTCACCAGGTTGGCCAAGCTGGTCTTGAACTCCTGACTTCAGGCGATCCACCCGCCTCGGCCTCCCAAAGTGCTGGGATTACAGGCGTGAGCCACCATGCCCAGCTCCCAAAGCTGTTTCTTTTGTCTTTAGCATAAAGCTCTCCCACCATGTAGTATCTACATAACTGACGTGATATGAGCCAGCAAACTCAGTCACTCCGTGGTCTTTTTCTCTTTCCAGTTCTCTCTTCAAGTTCTGCCTCAACGAAAGTAGCAGGTCCCCAGTTAGTGATCAGGTGAGGGTTCTTTGAACCTGGTTCTATCAGTTGAATTAATCCTTCACGATGGGCCACGTCGTCCTTCCAACTCTTGGTCTTATTAGTTGCCATCTCCAGCTTCTTTTTAACTTCCTAGTACTGCTCAAGTGCTTGTTTCCGTTCCAACTCCAGCTGCTCCATGGCTTCTTGCAGGGCCCGCTTCTCCAGGACACGCTGATTCTCCAACTCCTGCTTCTCTGTCTCAGTCGTCTGAATGGCCTGCTGCTGCTCCAAGTGCCACTTTTCTAGTTCAGCCCTCTTGGAAGACTCTTCCTCCAACAACCTGGCCTGAAGCTTCCGCACCGTCTCATCATCTTGCCGGGCCTGTCTCTCATCCTCAAGAGCCTCTTGCAGCCTTAGGTACATGTCTTCCAGCTCCCGTACTCGCTGTAAATACTGTCCCAGTTCAGAGGACTTTGGAGCAACCTGTCCTTCCATCTGCTGTTTAATAAGCTTCTTTCTTTCCAGCTCTGTGCTGAACCTGGCCTGAAGTTCCAGTTGAGTCTGAAGGCGTTTCTTTTCCTCTTCTGCTGCACGGGATGCTGCTTCCTTGTTTCTTCCGCACGGCCTCCAGCTCCAGCTGCCTGCTTTCGTTGGCGGCCTGGAGCTCCTTCATTTGTCGCTCCACTTCCTCTTGTTCAGCCAGTTGCTTCTTCCGGAGTTCCTTCAGACGCTGTCAGGCTTCTTTGTGTGGTGGAGGGCTGCCCAGCTTCAACAGATGAATAGTAGAATGAATGGCTTTTATCCACTCCTGTTTCTTCTTCTTAGCTGAAGCACCAATTTCAAAAGTCTTATCAAAACATTTTACGAGAAAAAGGCATTTCTTTCCATCTTTGTCAGGCAAGGACTCTAAACAGCAGTTTTCATCCAAGAGAATGTCTCCTTTCTTATCATTCAGGTCCTCACTCACATAGTAAGAAATTATGTTGCGTTTTAGTACAAACCATCATTCAGTCCAGTTTTTCGGTCTGTGGCACTTTTTCATCGTGTAACCCTGTTTTAATACATCTAGTATAAGTTCATTAAAGACTTCATTAATTGCCATAGACACAGTCTGCCAATCCATGCCTTTGCTAAACTGTCCATTTCCAATAAGCTCGATAAGTTCCCACGCCATCTTTACTGTCATCAAAGTTGACTTTATAATGTTCAAATTGTTCTTGCTGCCAACCTCCTCCCATAGCGTCTGTAAGCTTCTTAAGCAGGTATTCCATCTCTTCTGTCACAATAATTAATGGATACTTGGCCTCAGATACAAAGTTGAAAATAACCCATACTTTAAATGTATCATCTTCTGTAATGAGCAGGGGATTCTTTTGTGAGGTTTTTTTTTTTTTTTTTTTTTTTTGACACAGAGGGTCCATCACATCCTATTGAATTCAATCTTGTCAAAGTTGTGTTGGACCTTTTCCAAAATGAACTTGTTTAAATAAGGCATGTAGCCCTGGTTGGACACTGGCCCCTCATCATCATCCCTAGTGTTCTTCAAGGGCAACCGGGTCATGAGGAACCTTCAGAACCATGGACAGGTTATGGGAAAGGACCTTGAGCTGGGACTTGGAGACTTTGCCACTGTGGTCATGGTAGACTGCAGTGAAGGCATGCCAGATGGCTTTGAGTAGCTCTTCCCTCAAGCTCCCCATGGTCGCTGCCCTGCTGCCCTGCCAACCACTCCTGAGCCCCTTCGCGCCTCTCAACAAGTATTTATTTAGCACCTGGGAGGCACCAGATTAAACCTCTGGCAGCTCTATAGGGATTTCTAAGTAATGACATCTGTGCTACCTAGCCAAGGTAGGAGAGTGCCGGAACAAACAATGCTAATATCTCTTTGAATTAACATAATAAAAGTTTACTTCTAGCTCATGTAACTTTTCAGTGTGGAAATTGGGCCCTCCCATCTTGTAGTTCTATAATATCCTAGGACATCAGGGGCCTTCCATTTCAATGGTTAGAACTCAGTCACTTGGCCACAGATAACTGTAATGAGAAACATGAGAAATATGGTTTAACCCTTCCCAAGAGAAGGAGGAAATGGGTTGGGGAAAAGATAGCCAGTCTTGGCCAAGTATCTTCAGGAAACTTACTTTCTCTCATACGCCAGTGCTGGACCACTCAGCACCACCATACTGCATGAATTGACATTCCTTTCACACCTCACACCACCCGATGCTCTGAAATCTTTTAGCCTCTCAGCATCACTGGAGGCAGGGATAGGAAATGTGAACTTGATTGAAATAGGAGATTATTTGAGAAACCACTCTATGCCTTACTATTTTAATAAGTTAAGTAAATTATTTTAATCTTATTTAATCCTCTCAACAATTCTGAAATGTAGGTTTTATTAACGTTATAACACCAATGACAAGCTGAGATTCAGAGAGGCTAAAATCCTCCTAGAGTGACTTGGATTCAGTCTCAAGTCTACTGGACCCCCAATCTGGTACAGTTTTCATTACACCGGTTTCCTAACTTGAGTTTTTTTTTGTGCAGCACCTTTATGCCATGTCCTATATTACATACTTCTAGTACTGTTAAAAAGATCTTCTCATCAAAACTTAGTCTCAGCTAAGGCAATGCTACCTGTGATGCATTATGATGGTACTATCTTTACACCTAAGCAATCACTTTATTGCTTGTATCCTCATTATTTGTAATTTAGGATAACAACCTAATAAATAATGCTGAGCAAGGACAAAAGACCAGCACTGATAATCTATAATACTTTCCCTGGGATTTTTGCATTTTTAACAATATATGCTTAGGGTTTAGCCTAGAGGAGGGTCACTAGAATGACATTCTCAAATTAAAACAACAATGAGCTATCATTGCCACTAGAATGACTAAAAAGACAAATTAAAAAAGAAAATTTTGCAAAATATGTAACAATTCTCATAAATAACTGGAGAAAATATACAAGCATATAACCACGTTGGAAAACTGAGCAGCAGTGAGAAAAGTTAACATCTATTCTTCACCCAAATTTTTCACTTGTAGGTATTTATCCAAGAGAAATTAAAATATGTTCACACACACACAATCTGTAAAAAATATACCAAGATTCCCCAACTTTTTGGTCTCTTCTACATTTTTTTTTTTTTTTGAGACGGAGTTTCGCTCTTGTTACCCAGGCTGGAGTGCAATGGCGCCATCTCGGCTCACCGCAATCTCCGCCTCCTGGGTTCAAGCAATTCTCCTGCCTCAGCCTCCTGAGTAGCTGGGATTACAGGCATGTGCCACCATGCCTAGCTAATTTTTTGTATTTTTAGTAGAGACGGGGTTTCACCATGTTGACCAGGATGGTCTCGATCTCTTGACCTCGTGATCCATCCGCCTCGGCCTCCCAAAGTGCTGGGATTACAGGCTTGAGCCACTGCGCCAGGCCGGTCTATTCTACATTCTTAATAATCACTGAGAACCCTAAAGGGCTATTGTTTATATGAGTTTTATCTATTAATTGTTACTAAATTAGAAATTAAAACTGAGAAATTAAGATATCTATTCATTTTGAAATAACAGTAATAAAGTCAATTTTAACTATTAATATCATAATATTGTTAACCTAAATAACATATTTTTGTGGAAAATAACTATATTTTCCCAAATAACAAAATCAGTGTGAAAAGTGGCACTATTTTACATTTTTGCAAATCTCTTTAATAGAAATATAATAGAAGATGACTGAATTTTCTTAACTGCTTCCACACTGTCTGTTCAAGAATGATTACTGTACTATAGCTTGCAATAGGAAAATGATGGAAACAATAAAACTGTATATTTAAGAGAATTGATGTTTATGTTTATAATACTAAATAGTTTTTCAACTAGATTCAGTTATGTGTATCAAATACTTAAATCTCAGAAACAAAATATTGTCCAAGAAGAGCATGTAGAATGACACATTGTATGAGACTATTTTTATAGAGTAAGAAAACATTAAGAAATGTTCTAAATATTATTTATCATATTGCATACCAATATAATAAACCTATAAAACTTGCATAATTATAAACTCCGAATGCAGAGTAATTTTCCTCTAGAAGAGAGAGGAAAGGAGGGAGAGGAATAAGATTGGAGAGGAATAAACAGTAGATTCAATTGTATTTAAAATGTCTTATTTTAAAATTCTAAAGAAATATGGTAAAATGTGAAGTTTTGATACAGTTGAATAGTTGTTACAAAGGTAGTATTTACTTTACTTGTTATGCTTTTATGTATGATTGAAATATTTCAGAGCATGTATAAGAGAGTACAAAAGGCTTTGTGAGTAAGCAAAACAAATGTCTTGGTAATCTATATTAGAAGGGTTATTCTCATTTTTGTTGTTTTGAAGCTTTTCAAAAAGTTTTCAAACACAACAGGAAGAGCTTAGGCTCAATTCATGCACATATTTTTGTTTTTTAAACTTTCTTGAATTCATACGTTTTCTAAATTTTGAAGGAAGGGCCTCTTTGAAAGGGTTTGTTTGTATTTATCCAATGAAAATTCATTCAATATCCTCTACAAAAAAAAGACGAAACAAAGAGGTATTGAAAGGTACAATGATGCCCATTTTACATCAGCTAACAATGCAACAAGAAAGTAATTTCTTATCCCAACCAAGTTCATAGATGTATGGGCAATCCGGCAGATACTCTTCCTAGGTACACCACAGTAAATATATGCACTAGTACATAGGGACAGGTGTACAAGAATGTGCATTGATTTCAATGAATTAACCTTTAGCAAAAAAAGGTTTAATAAATTACGGTGAGTCTGCATAATGAGATCTTACCCAGTTTACAGTAGTAGGCAACTACATTCACTTTGCATAGTTATCTTGGTTATTCTTAAGAATTTTTTCTTCAGCAAAAAATTGTAAGATAATGTTATCTAAATGTAAGGCAGAAATTTGTTTTTTTATTAGAGTGGCAGAAAATTTAAATTTAAATAATAATTTTGGGAAAAATGTTTTTGTGATTTTAAATTGTCCAATTAAAGAATACATGGATTTCTATACATTCGGATCTTGTGTTATGTCCATCAATAAGATTTTTTGATTTCTTTACCATGTCATGCTTAACATATTCTTAAATGCTTTTTTTTGTTTTTGTTTTTGCTGTGTGTGAAATGTTTTCTATTCCCATTTGGGATACTCAAAGCTAGGATCTATGAGAGGTATAGATTATTTAAAATATTTGTCATGTATACAGCCAGCTTACCAAGTTTTCTAACTAATTCTATTATTATTATTTTCTTTTGAGATGGAATCTCACTCTATTGCCCAGGCTGGAGTGCAGTAGCGTGATCTTGGCTCACTGAAACCTCCATCTCCTGGGTTCAAGTAATTCTCTGCCTCACCCTCCTGAGTAGCTGGGATTACAGGTGCCCTCCACCATGCCTGGTTAATTTTTATATTTTTAGTAGAGTGTTTCCCCCAAAGTTCTAATGTTAGAAACTTTATCCCCAGTGCAACCATGTTGTTGAGAGTGGGGCCTTTTGGGACGTATTTAGGTCATCAGGAATCCACCATTATTAATGGATTAACATGCTATAAAAAGGGCTCATGGAAGTGGTTCACTCTCTTCTACCCTTCTGCCATTGAGGACACCATACCCATTCCCTCTTGCCCTAACACTTTCTGCCATTTCCAGATGTATGAAGAAGGCCCTCATCTGATGTTTGCACTTTGATCTTGGACTTCCTAGACTCTCCAGAACTGTGAGAAATAGTTTTTTCTTTATAAATTACCCACTATGTGGTATTCAGTTGTAGCAGAAAGAATTACTAAGATAAAATATTTGCTAAGTCTTCTAGGGGCTCAGGTTGTTTGATCAATGGCAGCTCTCCCATTGGGCGTAAATAAAGAGATCTCCATTCTCTTTAACGATATCTAATGGCTCTCTAGTTTAGCAGCAGGTAGCAGGCTACCCTCTACTATATTGGGGAACTCTTTTGCTCCCCAGGTTCTTTGTTCTCTTTGATACTTTGTCTTCCTGTTATACTCCCTGGCCTCTTGGAAACCAGGGATACCTGGTACTCTCATGAAAGGCCAATGAAGACCTTCTCCCTAGGGTTCACCAACCTTCACAAAGTAAATTATTTCCTGGGCTTATACAAAGCTGGTCTCCAGATGCTCACTCAGGTAAAGAAGAGTGTTCCATATCAGTCAGGTGGGGACTGACAGATTGGAAGTGGTGAGGAAGGCAAAGGGCTGCATTTGAGTCACTGTATTTCCGGAATCCCCCTCTTTTAGATTGCTAGAATATTATGCCTAATAGACTCAGTGTTACTTTTTAAGGAAGCCATTGAACGATATATGTATGGTTTCATCCTGTCTCAAGCATTTAGTGACTTGGCTTCTCACATTCTTCCTTTCTCATTCTCTAGCCAACCATATACCTTAACTAAGTAGAGTCTAGATTACCTCAAAATGTACTTTGTACCATGATGGAATTCCAGTTCATAGATAGCAAATCCTAGTGGCTTACACTTGCATTCAATTGAAAAAGTTATAGAATAACTGAATAAATTATCTTTAGGACACAGTTTATCATGCAAGATTGATAACATCACTAGATTGTTGGTGGTTGAAGACCAAAATATATAACATGACACATTAGCCGGTCTCTAATAATGGTACCCAGTGAACCATACTTTCCAGTGC